CCCGCGGTGTGAGTGCTCCATGCCGGATGTGCTGTTCTCACAGCCCTCGGTTCACAAAGCACTCCTAACCCTGGACATCAAGAAGCCGAGTGGGCCTGACAGCCAATTGTGCTGAGGACGTGTGCTCCGGAGTTGGCACCGCTCCTAAAGCGTCTTTTCCGGTACTCCTACTCCTAAGGCGTAGTCCCGAATTCATGGAAGACAGCTTTTGTAGACCCGATCCCTAAAAAAGGCGACCGCTCAGACCCGTCCAACTATAGGCCTATCGCCATCACCTCCTTGTTCTCCAAAATAATGGAATCCATTATTAACTGCCAGCTCATGCGGTACCTTGAGGATCACCAGCTGATTAGTGACCGCCAATACGGTTTTCGTCGGGGTCGATCAGCTGGTGATCTTCTGGTCTACCTGACCCATAGATGGGCGGAGGCAGTAGAGTCGTGCGTTGGCCGTTAGTTTGGAAATTGCGAATGCCTTCAATCGGGTTCGGCACAAAGTGCTTCTTTTGAAGCTCCCTTCCTATGGGCTTCCCGAGAAATTGTGCAATTGGATCACCACCTTCCTTATTGACTGTGCTGAGCATTCAATATCAGCCTGTTCAGGATACTTTCACGTTTCGAGTCAAACTCGATCCTAAAGCATGAACCAAGCGCTCCGTGCTGTCTACAGTAGCCCGTACCTTCGATCCTAATGGATGGATCACTCCTGTCATTTTTTTGGCTAAGGGCTTTCTTCAAAAGCTCCGGATATCCGGGTTGGGTTGGGACGAGCCTATTAGTGGCGCTCTCTTGCGAGAGTGGCACTCCATTGTGTCCTCCCTTCCGGACATCAACCGGGTCTCCATGCCAAGGTGCTTCCTCCCTCCAAGGAAATGCAGGGCTACCCTACATGAATTTTGCGACGCCTCGGAGAAAGGCTATGCTGCTGTTGTATATTTGCGGACTGTGAGCTCTTCTGGCGATACTTCCGTCCATCTCGTACTTGCTAAAAGCAAGATTGCTCCCATTAGGTCCCGCTTAACTATCCCTAAATTGGAACTGTCCGGAGCCGCTCTTCTCTCGCAACTCCTCAACCACTTGGTCGGACAGTGAGATTGCACTTTGTGAGAGTGAGATGAGTACTTTGTTGGCTCAGAGTTACACCTCACAGTCTGGAGGTCTTTGTGGCGAACCGCGTGTCTCAAATCCAGAATTCTGGGACGTCTCTAAACTGGAGACATGTCCCAGGGGAGTTGAAACCCGCAGACTGCGCTTCTCGCGGCTTTGAAGCCCCATATTTGGTTGACCACCTGCTTTGGTGGGGTCCCAGTTGGTTGACTGAGCCTCAGTCATCCTGGCCCCAGAATAGACATTCCGAACCGATTGAATTGCCTGGCCTACGAGCCCGAGTAGGAGTGGGCAAGGATAAGCCCACTCGGGATTTCTCCCTGCTAGAACGGTACATCTCTCTCGATAAGCTCTTAGGAGTGAATGCTTGATTGCGTCGATTTGTCCGCAATTCGAGAGACCCGCCCAACAGAATCTCTGATTCCGTTTTGTCCCCTAGCGAGCGTCGCGAAGCTTTGATGCATTGGACCCGTATGGTCCAATCGGAGCATTTTGAGCCCGTGATTGAAACCTTGAAGCGGGGCTCCGTTGTCAAGGGCGCTCTGGCCCGTCTGAACCTCTTCCTGGACGACGCTGGGATGCTGCGCGTTGGCGGACGTTTGAAAAATTCTCAACTGCCGTACGGGGCTTGACACCCGTTGCTGCTCCCTAAGGACGGCGCCTTTGTTCGGTTGCTGGTAACTCACCATCATGTTAAGAATGCCCACGCTGGGTGTAACGCTCTTTCGGCTATTTTGCAGCGGGAGTTTTGGATTTTGGCTGACCGACGCACCATTCGGAGCGTCCTCTTTAAGTGCATACCTTGTTATAAACTGAAGGCTACAATATCGCAGCCTATGATGGATGACTTGTCACCCGACCTCGTCAGGGCCATCCGACCATTCGCTGGAGTCGGAACCGACTTTGCTGGCCCCTTCCTCGTCAAGTCCTCTAACCTTCGTAACGCGCGTTCAAATAAGGCCTATCTTTGAGTTTTCGTGTGCCTCTCCACTAAGGCCGTTCACTTAGAACTTATAAGTGCCCTCAGCACGGAAGCCTTTTTGGCCACGCTGGGCCGCTTCGTATCGCGTCGCGGTTTGCCGGACCTGATACGGTCTGATTGCGGAACGAATTATAAGGGCACGGACAGATATTTGAAAGAGGTCCTCGAATTTCTGTCCAGCAGCAGGACTTATTTAGGTACTGCGATGTCCAAGAAGGGCATCCAGTGGATATTCGACCCTCCGGCTTGCCCACACTGGGGCGGTATTTTTGAGGCGGTGGTTAAAGTTGCAAAAACGCATCTCCGTCGCGTTATTGGCGATACTATTTTGACATTTGAGGAGCTTGCCACTGTATTCTGTAAAATTGAGGCGGTACTCAACTCTCGGCCCCTCTGTCCCCTCTCGTCCGATCCGAATGATTTGGAGGTTCTAACCCCGGGCCATTTCCTGATTGGCCAGCCTCTTAACGCCCTGTCCGAGTACCCCTTCAGGGAAATAAACTCTACGCGGTTGAGCAGATTTGACCTGCTGCAACAGATGACTCAGAGTTTTTGGCACCGATGGTCTCTGGAGTACCTACATCTTTTGCACTAGCGCGTTAAGTGTTCTGACAAGACGGATCCTCCTCGGGTTAGTTAAAGAACCCAACGCCTTACCTTTGAAATGACGCCGTGGGCGCATTGTTAAGTTGACGTATGGATCGGATGGGGTGCCTAGGGTGGCCGAGGTTTTGGTTGGAGATTTGGTCTTGCAACGTGCCGTCGCGACCCTATCCCGTTTGCCAATTTACTCGCGGACATAAGTCCTTATGTCCGGGACGGGGGTTTGTTTGCGCCAAATGCTAAATTTTTAAAACTGTATTCCGAGGCGCTCGACGCGGCGCGTTCATAACCGGTTAGATGTGTGGGCGATTAACGGGAATTTTGTTGCCAGCGGGGCCGCGTCCGGATTGCATTGCAGTTAAGCGAGTAGAACCGCGTGGTCGCGTGCCAAAAGGCCTCTAATTCGTGTCGTCTTTGTTAGTACGTTTACGTGACGACGAGGTGTTTTTCTTGAGTTTGAGTGATTAACTTAACCTCGGTTGCAAGTAATTTACGTCAATTTGTATAGTGATTGCATGTTGAAGTGCATTTGGCAATATTTATTTTGCTTGTGTTGTATTTTAATATCGTACTAAAGAATTTTTGCTTTGTCGTGCAGAACGCTAACTTTGTGACCCGAGAGAAGGTCGTGTTCGGTTTCGAGAAGTAATTTTGTGCTAAGTGAACCTGGAACGTTGAACTTTGACCGACCGTTCTGCGGTTGTGCCGTGTGTCACATGTTTGATTTCGATTAACTTGGATTTAGTTGAATTTGAGGTTGATTAAATGTACAATAAAGTTGATAAACTGAAATAGTGAAATAAAAGCAGAAGTAAAGTAAAGTAAAGTAAAATATACTTTATTGTACACCAAGGAACATATTACAAAATTTATATATTTAAATGGACATTGGTACAACAGGCGGCCTTATCGCTAAAACAGCGATCTCTTCCAGGCAACCTTAGGGCAGTGGATACTATTTTTAAAAGAAAGCGGAAGGGGTGTACAGAATATAATATAGAAAGATAAATAGAAGAACATAAGTGATCAAAGGAAAAAGAAAGTGAATGACGACAGGTAGTAACTTAAGAGGAAAGGTAATAAAGTTTTAATTTATTTTTAAATATAGGAAGAGATTTAGATTCTTTAATATGTAAGGGGAGAGAATTCCATAGTCGTATAGCGGTAACCGTAAAAGAATTAGAATAGAAGGAAGAGGAATGTCTAGGAGTACTTAGAAGAAGATTATTTTGAGATCGTAGAGGAGAAGAAGAAGATAACAGAAGGGATCGCACATTTGGAGAAAAGCAGCGCCGGTGGATCTGCGGTCCGACTACATCGGTTAAGTCAGGTTACACCCACACACTACTACCTTTACACTTACATACCACCCACTTGCCCCTGACTTCGCCTTGTGGTCGACCCTACCTCCGGAATTCAGTAAGTTTTTATTTGCTTGTCAGCCGTTTTAGAATAATTGTCCATAGGCCATTGGGCTCCGCCCCCTGTTGCTCGTCGAGGGGGCTACTATGGGCCCTAGCCCAGTCGACTTTTGTCGGGGCAACTAAGGACGTGAACATTTATTATTTTCTCCATGTAGGGTAATATGATGATACGGGCTTATTAATGTATTATCTTATTAACTATCTGGGATTTGTAAAAATTTTCGCACTAAGCGATATGTATTTAAAATAGCTGCTTTTTGCATTTTAATATAAAAATTTGGGGGTAAATCTAATAACTTAAGACAGTGATGCAAATATTTTGGTATTAATCCTGTAGCTGAAAGTACAATTGGAACGATGAAAACCTTATTTAATTTCCATATTCTTTTAATTTCTTCGCTTAGTTCATTATATTTACTAATTTTTTCGGCTATTGTTTTTTTGAATATTTTGCGTATTTGGTACAGCTATGTCAATTAGAAAAGCTATATTGTTAACTTTGTCTTGCAAAACTATATCGGGACAATTGTAATGGATGGTCTTATCAGTAAGTACGGCTCTGTCAAAATATAGTTTATGTGAGGTATTTTCTAACACAGGGTTGGATTTATATTTAATAATAATAATAATAATAAAAGTTGTCAAAAGTAAATGATGCAGTCAGTACAAAATCTTAAAAATTATTTTTTGTAGCATATGTTTCAAGTTCCCAAATAACAAATTTTCAACGCAAATAGATTTTACAATATCAATATAAATAAAAACTTTAAAAATCTGTGGATAAGAAACTAATTTCAAGAAAAAATGTATTTCTTTCAAATTGACAACTGTCATATAAGAAATTTTACAAACAGATTTATAAAATATTTAATTTAACGTTACATTATGCATCGAACGAGACGACAAAGACGAATAAATACCGCCAATACCACAATCGCACACGTAACATCGCCTACGGAGGACTACACATCCATGGAATGTAATCCTAGAGGCACAAGAAGAACCCCCGTACCATCTTTGAGGGGACGAAGAGCGCCACCGGCTGGCTTGGGACCTGCAGGAATTACCATCCTACAAGAGGACCCCGCTACTGATGGTGTAGTGCGACGACGCATGCGCTGGACTAAAGAATTAAATATAAGTGTTATGCGCGCGTACTATAAGGCTACCAAAGGAGGAACCAATCTTACATCTTATCGCCCTAAAATGCTATCTGAATTCCAACAGCTACAGCCCAACCTAACAAACTTAACTGCCCAAAGACTTTCAGATCAAGTACGTGTCATTCTAAGTCGTAAGATTTTGGATGACAGATTACTTGAACAACTTTGCAGTGAGTACTCAACATCTTCTATCAATTCAATTCCTGATTCCCAACGAACACTTCCAGGTGAGTCTGATGATTTAAATGTTAATAACAGTAACCATAATATAAATATTACTAACTTAAACAACGAAAAAGTAGAGCAAAATTGTTTTGATATAGATGTGAGTTCCCAGGACAGCGAATATATAAGAAGGACTTTCGAATGTTCTCTTTTGGAATATAAAAATACACCTATAGAAAATAGACCGAAACTACCTAAACTGCCTAACAACAAAAAAACTATATTAACAGTAGCATCAATGAATGTTTTATGTAAAGATTATTTTGAAAAAAGTAATTCTATTTTGGAAACTATGTCTCTTCTATACTGTTGTGCCCATGCTGTATGTATGATAATGAAAATTCCTATCATTTCAGTACAAAATTTTAAGAAAAATAATACAGAACCTAAATGGAAACAAAGAATTCAAAAACGAATTGACAATACTCGCAAAATTATAGGAAAATTAATAAGCTACCAAACAGGTAACAGGCGTAAAAAAATAATTACTTTAGTAAATCAAATCTCTAATGAAAATAATATTAGCCATTTAGATCCCCATTTTCCGGATAAAATTACTGAGTACATTGATACGCAAAAACAAAAATTAAAAGCATGGGCCAACCGTATTAGACGATATTCAGAAAGGTCTAAACGGTACTTCCAAAATCGCACATTCGAAAGTAATCAAAAGTGGGTGTATCGGTCTTGGGAGAGCACTACAACTAATAGTTGTACTCATGGCAGCCCAAGCTTAATTGAATGTCTAAATTTTTGGAAAAATATGTGGTCTAATGAAGTTTCTCATAATGAAGGCGAATGGATTCGTGCAACCGAACGTAAGTTTTCTAATTTGGCTAACATGGGTTCTATCTCAATTACTGCTGAAGATGTATACTCAATTACTCGTAGATTACACAATTGGAAATCACCTGGACCAGATGGTATACACAACTTTTGGCTGAAATGGATAACAAGTAGCCATGTGCGTTTGGCTGCACAGATTCAAGAAGCAATTGAGTGCTGTGAGCTCCCGAGACTTCTTACAACTGGTATTACCCACTTACTATATAAAAATGGAAACACCACGGAACCTAAAAATTACCGACCTATAACATGCCTTTCAACTGTATACAAATTAATAACTGCAATTTTAAATAACAAGATCTATAAACATTTGGAAAATAATAACATTCTGTCAACCGCACAGAACGGATGTCGGAAAGGGTCACGTGGTTGTAAAGAACTTCTTCTCATTGACACAGCTATTTGCCGACAAGTTTTTCGTAATCGCAAAAATATGTCCGCTGCTTGGGTGGATTACAAAAAGGCATATGACTCTGTTCCACATTCATGGCTAAAGAGAGTTTTAGAAATATATAAAATAGATGACAAAATTTGTAAGTTTTTAAGTAAATTAATGGGTCAGTGGAACACTATCCTAAATCTACCAGGTAAGTGGCAAAGTAGTTCGATAGACTCTATAAATATTAAGCGGGGTATATTCCAGGGCGATAGTTTGAGCCCAACTTGGTTTTGTTTAGCCCTGAATCCTTTAAGCACTGTTATTGAGGAATCTGGATTAGGATTTCGGTTTCGAAAAGAAAACTCACCCATCTCACATCTACTTTACATGGATGATCTCAAGCTATTCACATCAAAAGAGAGTGATCTATTATTATTGTTGAAATTAACACATAGTTTCAACAATGATATTAGAATGGAATTTGGAATAGATAAATGTGCTGTCATAAACGTAAATAGGGGCAAAATTAAAGATTGTAATAATTTTGCAATTACAGATGACTTACATTTCAGTTCTCTTTCTGAGACAGAAACCTATAAATACTTGGGCATGGCAGAAGCGCTAGGAATTAATGACAAAAACATTAAAGAAAATTCAAAAGTAAAATTTATGTCAAGATTAAAAAAAGTTATCAAAAGTCATTTATCTGGCGGAAACAAAATTAGAGCATATAACTCCTGGGTAATACCTAGCCTTCTATATACTTTTGGTATTACAAGATGGTCTCAAACGGAATTGGATGACTTAGATAGACGAGTCCGCACATTAATGACTACGCACAGAATGCACCACCCGCGATCATCTGTCATGAGGTTGTATCTTCCAAGAAAAGATGGTGGACGGGGCTTATTAAACATTAAAAACCTACACAACCGTGAAGTATACAACCTCAGAGACTATTTTATTAAAAAAAAGACACATCACGCATTCATAGTGACGTAGTGATTAATGACAAATCATTAACCCCGCTTAATATGTCGGCAAAGGACTGGCAGAGGCCTCATACTATGACTATAGATGAACGCAAAAAGGTTTGGAATGACAAACAACTGCATGGTCGATTTTTTAAAACATTGACTAATCCTTGTATAGACATGGTTGCATCAGTACATTGGTTACAGTTTGGTGACCTTTTTGCAGAAACTGAAGGGTTTATCTGTGCAATACAAGACGAAGTAATTAAAACGAATAACTACCGGAAGTACATTTTGAGGGATGGCACAGTTGACGTATGTCGCGCATGTCACCACCCTGGAGAGTCCCTCAGACATGTTATTTCCGGTTGTTCACAACTATCAAATGGCGAGTATTTGCACAGACATAACCAAGTAGCTAGAATAATACACCAGCAGCTTGCGATTAAATTTGGTTTTACTCAACAGGACGTTCCATATTATAAGTATGAACCAAAACCAGTCCTTGAAAATAGAAGTGTCACGCTGTACTGGGATCGGTCAATTATCACAGACAGGTTTATAGTGGCAAATAAACCTGACATTGTGGTGATAGACCGAACTGCACGCAAGGCAATAATAGTGGATATCAGTGTTCCTCATGACGAGAATCTCGTGAAAGCAGAGAATGATAAAAAGATAAAATATATCGACTTGGCTCATGAGATTGTTGCTATGTGGGACGTTGATTCTACTATTATTGTACCAATAGTTGTTTCACTCAATGGGCTTATTGGTAAAACTATGGACGACTATCTATCCAAGTTGGGTTTGGGCAAATGGCTGAAGGGATTAATTCAAAAATCGGCCTTATTAAATACGGCTCGAATAGTGAGAAGGTTCCTATCTTTGGATGCCTAATTTCACCGATGGCTTAGGATTCCTCGCCGCGGTGGATAATAGCCGAAATAATAATATTATTTACATAGATTGTATTTATATTTATAATATTATAGTTTTGTGACAATATATATGTGATAATGTAATAATAATAATAATAAATATTTATTGCCACACAATAATAAGTTTACAAATGAAAAGTTTACAAAGTAAGTATACACATAAAAACGATTAGACTTAAAATTTTTATAAAAAAATGAACACTCACAATTAACAGATTAACTAATATTACTCAGTTTACGATTATAATGTGAGGCAACGGGCACAGGCTCAGTATTCGCTGGGCATTATGCTCAGCACTGTTTTTCAGCCAGTCCCTGCTGTTGTGGGTATATTTTGGTCGCACGCACATCTTATTTAATTATGTATTGTTGGTAAACCTCTTTACAGTCAATATGTGTTAGATGAAAAAAAAAACTTTATTACAGAATAAACATACAGTTATTCGGCCTAAAAAGACTTCTGTTTATGTAATAACTCCTTTTTAACCTTTTTTTTAAATGTTGTAAATGTAATATTAAAATTTTCTTTTAAGGGTGGTGGCAAATCATTCCATATTTTTGCGGCCGAATATTTAAAACATCCCCTAAAGTTTTTAGTCTTATGGCATGGAATATTCAGCATGTTTGAGAGTCTTTTACGTGTATTTACTTCATGAGCATTTTTACTCCAATCTAATTTATTGCATAAATACAGTGGACTTTTGTTACTAATAATTTTGTGGACTAAGCAAACCAAGTGGAGTTTCCTACGTGCGTCCATTTTTAAAATATTATTTTCATTAATATATGGAGTAATGTGAGCTCTCTTTGGGACGTTATAGCAAAAACGAGTACATGCGTTTTGCACGCGTTGAATTGCCTTTTTTGTTTTTGCATACAGTCGTGGGCCATAGACGGTATCGCAGTAATTAAAATGTGATAACACTAACGACTGAACTAAGGTCTTCCTGATCGTTACTGTTAAGTATTTTCTTATGCTATATAAAACCTTTAAACGATAAAAAGCATTACGTATTTTAATATTTACATGTTCATTAAAGCGTAGTTGGCTATCGAGGGTAAGACCAAGGTTATTAGTATGATCCACTCTTAGTACCTTTTTATTTTTGATGAGTATTTCCGGTTTCTTACTTAATATTTTTTTACATTGTGTATGTTTACATATTTGTAGTATGGTTGTAAAGTGTTATCGATGAGTTTATGTTTCTGGGCTATCTTTTGGTGTATTATGTTTGCGATTTGATTATATCTGTGGGTGTAATCTGTTGATGCTAAGTTTTGACATGCTCCTGTGATATGCTGTATAGTTTCTGGTACTAAAGTCATTTACTGCATTTGTCATTTATAAGACTTGGTTCTCTAATTATAAATTTTCTATAGTTTTTAGTACTGATGATTTGATCTTGGATAGCATTTATAAAACCTTCTGTTACGGCAAATAATGTGCCTATTGTTAAATATTCATTTGATGCTGATATATCTATATTTTGTTGGCATAGGTTATGCGCATGTCTACCATGTAATTCCTTTTGTTTCCATTGTTTTATTTTTTCTTTTTCTAGATCTATTTTATTACATGTTTCTTGAGTTTGGTTTGCAGCGAGTCTAAGTGGAGTATAGTTAGTATCATTGTGAACTATGACTTTATGGGTATTGCTGCTTGTTGACTTCTCAAGGAAGAAGTTTTAAGACTTATGGTTTGGTTCTCTCTAAGCACGGTTATATCAATAAGACCTCTTCCACCTTTGTCTCTGTTAATCGTCAATCTTTCAACAGCTGATTTGGGGTGCAAGTATCTAAATTTAGTGAGTACTGTGCGAGTTTTTCGTTCCAAATTGATTGTGTCTGTTTTGGACCACCTAACTATTCCAAAAGAATATGTTAAAATGATTATGGCAAAGGTGTTAATTGCCTTACTCAGGTTTCTTGCAGTTAGTTGCTTTTTGCAAATGAGGTTGATCCTTTTCACGTATTCTTTTGTAATGTTGTCTTTAATTCTTTTATGATCTATTTGGTTGGTTTGCTCTATACCTAATTATTTATAAAATTGTCCTGGTTCGAGATATCATCAGCGGTGGACTTTTATAGGCTGTAATGGATGGATGTAGAGAAGATAATCTACCAGGAGCACATGATCCACTGAGAAGTGAAATTATTAAATCAACAGTAACATTATTACTATGGCAAAATCCTCACTATGAGGCAATCTAAGGGGGCCTTTGTTCAACAGTCGACTTTAATAGGCTGTAACGGTAACGTTCCTACAACCTTAACTTACCACCAGGTGAGTTCTTAGATTGCATTTATGAAACAACCTCATTTGCCACTCTAATATCTCAAATAATAACTGTATGTAAAGCACAATAAACAAGCAATAAGTTGAATTTACATTCAGAAAACATTATTCAAATACAGAGGGGCATTATAACGTGACAATAAAATATAAACAAAGCTTGTGTACGTGCGGGTTGCACTGATACGTTTAGTGAATAATTGTGAGCCAATTTTATAAATTAGAATTGGACTTTATGTTCTCTTTATGCTTAGAATACTAGAGTCAAATAAACTCACTTTGTAAACACCAGGAACAAACACAAGCTAGTTATACCAGTTTCTAGTAGTCTGAGAGCTGGCGACGAACTTTGGGAAGGTCCTTTGGGCAAGTTGAAATTGAGAAAAAATATTATTTCGTCAATTGGCGAATCCAGTTCCGCGAGTCTGGCAGAGCGTTTGCGGTTATTTCGTTACTGCGCAGAATATAGCATTTGCAAAAAAAAATCCAAAAAAATTTTTTTGTGGGAACTTGATTTCTTTTTTATCTTTTAATTTAGTTTTTATATAATTCCAAAAAAATAATCCCAGATGTTTTTATCGGTTATAAAGTGTATAAAGTGCTTACCGCCCAGAGATAAAGGTGAAAAAAAAAACAAGTTGCATGTTCTCTACAGCTGTAAATTTTTTCACAGTTATGTAGTACAGATATGGATGAAATTTTTTTCTACCTACACCAGACTATAGACTCCACAGAGTCAGTAGAATACACTATTACAATCAAGTCTCAGAAAACATACAAGGTCTCTCTATTACCAAGTTTAAATATTTTATCGAATTGAATAAAATATGTTTACGGGTTTTATCGCGTTTAAATTACTTATTTTTGATTCCCAATGTTTCGGGTGTGTTTGCACCAGTTTGCACTACCACCTTAATCTTATAAGGTTGGTTAATTATTATCCAATAAGAATAGTGCAAAGCCCATTTCCGTGTTTCCTATCTACCGCCTTTTATTACTTTAGCATGTGCACTCTTGTGTTAACGAGGTTCTGACAAGTTCAGAAGACACGAAACCAACCGCATCGCTCCTATGTCATTTAGATATTAAACTACAAAATCGTCGTATAGAGTATTTACAATAACGCTATATTTCGCTATTATCTGTGAAGTTTATACGCGAAAAACAGCCGGCGCCGAGTTATCTTGGCTGCAGCCCTTGAAACACGGGTCATATGAGCATAAGTCCAGGTGAGTGTACATGCATTCTTTCACGTCCTTTCTGTAACCCTAATTTAGATCCAATAATTTACGTATAATCATCGTTTTAATAACTCTGAAGCAGCAGTTTGTCATTTAAATCAACACGCCATTTTTCCAAGCCAAATTATAATTTTACCAAGGGTGCTTTACAGCAACCCATGGTCACGCGGAGGACTAAGATGTTTGACGTCCCTGTGATTGTAATTTGCGTAGATCGAACCAAAAATTAATATTCAAAAATTGAAGGTAGCAGGGCTAGCTATTATGACGTCGGGACGTCTAACATCTCAGTCCTCCCCCGTGACCATGGGTTGCGGTAAAGCACCCGAAATGTCGTAAATTAAAAAAAAAAGTAAATTAAACGCGATAAAATCCGTAAACATACTCTTATTCAATGTGTAGTATTCACGTAAATATAAGAAATTATTATTTTATTGAACAAAAACTGTATAAAATGTGTTACTATTATATAAATGAATATATAGATAATAACCCCTGGGAGTGACGTTTTCTTCTCTTCCAAGCTATTTCCAAAATAATTTCTATTTCTAAA